GAGCTGCTGCGCCTGGCCGGCCGCCAGCGCCCTGACGCCGCGGTGCATCGAGAGCGCAGGCGCAAGGCCCAGGAGTTCAGCCGCAAGGTGGGGCGTGAGGGGCGTGGTCAGAGGGTGCGAGCGGGCTGCAGGTGGGGCTGATTGGCGGAAGGGTAAAATGGGGGGCGGGATCTTTGATGGGTGGGCGGGGCTAGGACTGAGCCCACTGCTGGAGACGGATTGTAATAGAATGAGGCTCAAGCTTCAGGATCCTGTACCTAATTTTCTGATTTCTGTTCATCTGTTCGAATGAGGTTTTATGACACCCCCCCTCGTTTTTGTGTGCTCGTCCAGGACCTAGACACTGTCCCTGAGCTTTTTATTCTCAAGGCTGGCACTCTACCACTTGAGCCATACCCCTACCTCTACCTTTTTGGTAGTTAATGTAAGATAAGAGTCTCATGGTCTTTCTTGCCTTGGCTGGCTTTGAACTTTGATCATCAGTTCTCAGTGCCCAGCCATGACTAGGCAATTTTAATTCTTCGACTTGTCCTCCACAGAAAGGGAACTTCCCAGTCCTGTCCTTGTCAGGGCCTGGCCTAGAAATCCTGTTTGAGTTTGGTTATTGCAAAAAAATGTCTCCTAGCCCAATGTCCAAATGCCAAATCTCCAGCCTCCTCCAATGTCCAAGTTTTGTACACTCCTTACTCCTTTTGAAATGACTATTTAAGAGCTTCTCCATGCTATAACCTAGGACAGACCCCTCTCAGCTTATACCCCTGAGCATATACTGTAAGCATCCCTCTGAGATACATTCTCCATGCACACAGAACTCGCTTCTAATTTCCTTGCATCACCAATATCCAGCGAATCCAAAGTGGTGATTTTTGTAGAATGGAGTTGCCTCCTGCCTGTCTTAGTGTGTAGTTTAGGGGTAGAGAGCAATTGATTAGGTTGTACCAAGACCATGGACCCCATTCTCAGTGCTGAAAACACAAAAATGAGTGACTTTCTTCCTATACCCAGAAGAGATTCTGCTGAATCAAATCAGCATTGTAATGCCTTTGTGCTTTTTATTTTAAAATGGCAGTCATAAGGCTTGAACTCTGGGCCTAAGCGCTGTCCCTCCTCTCTTCAGCTCAAGGCAAGCACTCTACCACTTGAGCCATGGCACCACTTCCAGATTTCTGTTGGTTTATTGGAGATAAGAGTCTCACAGACTTTCCTGCCCAGGCTGGCTTTGAACTGCGATCCTCACTCATATCTCAACCTCCTGAGTAGCTAGGATTACAGGCGTGAGCACTGGCACTCAGCTGCCTTTGCACTTTTATTTCACCTATACAAAATCCTCTAGAAGGGCTGGGAAGGTGGCTCAGTGGTAGAGTGCTTGCCTTGCATGCATGAGGCCCTGGGTTCAATTCCTTAGCACCACATAAGCAGAAAAGGCCAGAAGTGGCACTTTGGCTCAAGTGGTAGAGAGCTAGCCTTGAGTTGAAGAGCTGAGGGACAGAGCCCAGGCCCAGAGTTCACGCCCCACAACCAACAAAGAAAAAAAAATCCTCTAGAAGTCCAGACCACTTTCTAGAGCCACTGATATCCAGATGAGATCTCAGCACTTCCTCGTCTTAACAGGGAAACCTCCAGGTTTCCCAAAGGAACAGGAAGTGGACAAGGAAAATTTTGCTTCAGGATTCATGGCATCACTGTCAAATCAATGTCTTTTGGGCAGAACTGGGCAAACTGGTCTTCCCAGAGGATGCTGAGAAATAGTCTAATTTCTGCAGTGTTGGAAGGGGGCATGTTTATCCCCCCCAGCAGGGGGCACTGTGGATAGGGAAAGCTAACCAGGAAACAGGACTAGCTAAGGAGAAAACTTTGAGTCTGCCAGGTCTGCTAGGATCCATTTCCTGGCAATGCGGAGTCAGAAGTTATGAGTCATCAAGCACTCTGAAAAAGGTGAATGAATCCGAATAAAAGAGCAAGTGGAAAATGAAGAGCCTCTGCAAAGCCCCCACTGACTTTCAGGAACCAACTTCCCACTGGGTTTTCCCCAGCATTCTGCCTGCCCCAGTTTTTTCTCCTTGAAGTAGCTGATATTTAATAGAAAAACCATTAGCGTCCCGTGATGGTGCCACATGCTTGGATGTAGGTTGAGAACATCTGGGTAATAACAGACACCGAAACCACACTGTGGCAAGGTCCCCAGGAGGGAGAACTATTTTTTCCTCTTTCTTACATAAAGCATCTTTGCAGCCAGCCATATTCTCCTTTGAATCGAGGCTGCTGCCTTTGGTCTCACATCATCAGCCCTCTCTGTAGTATAGCAGGTGCATGAGGAGGGGGGTGCCTGGTGTTACAGCCTGCCCCATCCACTGGAAGAACAACAGAGGTGAGCAGGGGACCTGCAGGAAATGCAATGCAATTGCAACCTTTACTTCAGTTCTAGGCTCATGCATAGAGAGCCTACTGTGTGCCAGGAGTCAGACAGTGAGGTATCCATGATGGGTATAAGGTCATGGCGAGAATGTGCTAGCATTCAGATATGTGCAGAAAGTGAGCTTGGTCTGGAATTCTTCAAAGCCCCCGGATAGTGCCTTTTCAATCCTCTCTGAAAAGCCACTGTACGTAATCCCCTGGTGGAACATCTAGAAAGCAGATAGAGAGTTCTGAAGTTCAGGAGCGAGCTCCAAGCCAGAGATCAAGATGTGAGTCACCACCAGAGGACATGGGCAGAGCAGAGTTATGCAGCATGCAAGTCAGCAGGCAGACTATAATGGTTAAGGGAAATAGAACATGTAGACAGCTTGGGACTAGAAAAGGGAAGAGGACGATAGAGTTGTGGGTACTAGGGGAAATTATTGATTCATTTAATTTATTTGTAAGAGACTGGAACATTTACATAATTTGAAAGGAAGGAAAAATGTGAAAACTTAGAAGTTTCTCATGCACTTAGAAGTCATTGCTTATAGAGTAATGATGTGCAGCACAGGGGAAACAGCCATGAATGACAGACAATGGAGCTGGGTATAGTGGAGCATGACTATAGTCCCAGTGCTAGGGAACCTGAGATAGAATTGTGCATTCCAGGCCAGACTGAATTATACAGTGAGAACATCGCAAAAAAAATAATAATCAAGCACATGCCCTCGCTGGTGGCTCACATCTATAATCCTAGCTACTCAGGAGGCTGAGATCTGAGGGTCATCGTTCAAAGCTAGCCCAGGCAGGAAAGTCCATGTGACTCTTCTCTCCAAT